ATCAAATCAGGCAACAGAGTCAAAGGTCAGAAAGCCAGGAAATCAGTCAAAGGTTGCAGGAGCTTGGAGTAAGGAGTAGAGGCTAACAGCCAGGATCAGGTCTGAGCACACATGGTTGCTTCCGCACTGAGACAGGTGCGTGGGGGTGTTTATGACCAGGTCCTCCCTTCCCTGGGAGTCACTCTGCCAAGACTCACAGCCCCTCACTTTGCCTTTGCAAGAACTGCAGTCTGGCACTCCTCCTTTGCTCTTGCACATTTCTGTATTTGTACACCTTTAAATATTTGTAATTTTTTAATAATTCTGGTAACTTCTGTATTTCATGCCTGTTTATACATGCCTTCTCATTATGTGTTTTCTTAAGTAAGGCAAATAATTATGAGTCTTTTGTGTACAATGTTAATATGTAAGATTTTAATAACAATTCTCACTTTTAATTTTGTTTTTCTTAAAAGGAGTTCCAACAATGCACGGAAAGTCATAAGTTCATTTATTTAAAACATTTATATGCTGCCTCTTCAGACACCTGCTCAAGGTGGCTCGCAAAGCAAAACTTCAAATCAGAGTAACTTAAAACCATTAACGTTTGCAGCCATGAAAAATGCAGAAGTCTAAAAAAGCCATGGCAGCAGCCGCCGCAAGTCACACGGGGAACGGGGGGAGCATCATCCACAACTGCAATCCTTGTGTCCCGGCCCGTCCACCCCTGCTCTTCCCTTTTACCCTCCAAAAGCACAGGCATGACGGCAATCAGGCCGGGACCTCCTGTGGTCTAGAACCCCTCCTTTCCTTGCCCAGCTGTGCCTTAACACCACAGCATAAGGACAGAGGAATGAAAAAGGCCCTTTAAAGGGTTAAGAAGGGGGAAACAGCCCTGTGCAATTTTGGAAATGGAGCTTAGCTCTGTCCCTCTCTCCCTTGTGGCTACAGGTGGAGGATCCAGATGGATGCTCCAAACACAACTACCCCACAGCTTAACACTTCAATTGGAGAAAAACAGGAATTATCATGTCATGGGAATGTTCCCCTTTAATCTAGGGCAGTGATGGCGAACCTTTTAGAGACCGAGTGCCCAAACTGCGATCCAAAACCCACTTATTTATCACAAAGAGCCAACACGGCAATTTAACCTGAATACTGAGGTTTTACTTTAGAAAAAAACCACTCATACATTAACTTAAGATGATCCAAACAAAGTAAGGAAAGCAATCGCAAATGCTTTCATTTCATTTACTTTAAATTATTTGGCAGAGAATTCAACACTTTAATGATGGTCTGGGCCTGGCTGGGGTGATACGCGTGCCCACAGAGAGGGCTCTGAGTGCCACCTCTGGCACCCGTGCCATAGTTTTGCCACCACTGATCTAGGGGTTTTCTGCATTCCCTGGAGAAGAAAATCCCTGCATGGAAGCAGCCATTCCAAGAAACGCCTACACGGTGATGTTTTGTAAAAAAGAGATTCTGAACATCAGGTTAAGAGATGACAGGATGTGATTAACGTGATTAACAAATAGTGTTGTTTGGATACCTGAAGAACAACATTTCAGGTGACTTTTATGCATTAACAACTGGGGACCTGCAAGACTTCTGGATAAGCTTGCCCACCTTCAGGCAGAACCTAGAGATCTCCCAGAATTACAACTTGTCTTCAGACCGCAAAGATCAGTTCACCAGAGAAAATGGCTACTTTGAGGGTGGACTGTATGTCATCATACCCCACTGAGATTTTCCCCCTCCTCCTCAGGCTACACCTCAAAATCTCCAGGACTTTCCTGGCCCAGGTTGGTTACTCTCCCTCCCTCCTTGACTTGCTCCTTTCCCTCAGAGTTTGGCCACCTCTGCAGGTCTGGCTCTAACTCCTTCCCTGAGGCAAGTTGTCAGGGTAGGAGGACTCTCACTCACCCACTACCTCCCCTGCTTTGTCCACTCTCCTTCCCAAAGGTCTGGGCACCCAACTGTTCTGCTCACCATTCTGCCTGCCTGCAACCTACCACTCTGCCTGCCCTCACCCATCTCTTCTGCTTCCTGTTGCTATGTGGAAAGTGGCAGCAGTAGGGGGAAGCAGTGGCTCCTGCCCTCTCCACTCTCTTGTTCACCTGCAGTGCCTCAGCCTATTTGGCTCAGCAGTGTTGGCAGCTCCCCCACCACAGCACAAGGCAGGTGGATGCTACCAAGCTGACAAAGATCAAGACCCTCTGTTTGGAGGGATTTAACTCCCTCTCCATTAATTATTCCTCATTTTTCTGCAAACCTGATGTTTCCCCTAACTTTGTAGAAAAATCTCTGTTCTCTCTACATGGCCCCAATCCACAGATTTACCTGAAAGCCCCCATAGTCTCTCCAATTTTCCTGCTTCCTTTTCTCCTTCTAGGGTTGCCAGCCTCTGTGTAGGGGCTGGAGATTTCCTGGAATCACAACAGATCTCCTCCTAACTGCAGAGATCAGTTCCCTTTAGGGTTGCCAAATTGAGGTTGGGAAATCCCTGGAGATTTGGGGGTAGAGCCTAGGGAGGGTGAGATTTGAGGAGGGAAACAACCTCAGCATGGTATAACACTATGAAGTCTACACTCCAAAGCAGCCATTTTCTCCAGGGGAACAGATCTCTGTCATCTGGAGAGCAGTTGTAATTCTGGGTGATATCCACACCCCACCTGGAGGTTGGCAACCCTAGTTCCCCAGGAGGAAATTACTGCTTTGGAAGGTGGAGTCTATGGCATTATGCTCTGTTGAGATCCCTCCCCTCCTCAACCCCTCCCCCCCAATTTCAAGGAATTTCCTAACTTCTTTCCTCCTCTTGGTAACCCCCATATCCTCTCCCTGCCTCATTCTCTCCTTCTCAGCCATTCACCAACCTATCTTTTATCTGTTTCTCATCTTCAGCTGTATTTATTCTTTATTTACTCCATTTATACCCCACCTTTCTCCACAGTGGGGACTAAAGCAGCCTACATCACTCTCTTATCCTTTTTATCCACACAACAACCCTGTGCGGTAGATTAGGCTGAAAGTATGTGACTGCTCACAATCACCCAGTGAGCTTCCACAGCAAGATGGGGATTTGAACCTGGGTCTCCCAGACTCTACTCTGAAGCTCTAACTACTACATTACACTGGCTTTCATAGGGCGGCTGCTGTTGAAAAGTAGTAAGTGAAAAGGTGTTGAAAAGTAGTAAGCAGCCAAGCCTAGTTCAGTCAAGCCGGTTGGCTGGTATAAAGTCACCCAGAGATTGCTTCCAGGCCTAGGGCTGCCAACTTCCAGGTGGGACCTGGAAATATCCCAGAATTACAACTGAATTCCAGACAACAGAGATCTGTTGCCCTAGAGAAAATGACTGCTTTGGAGGGTGGACTCTATTGCATTATATTCGTCTGAGGCCTGTCCCATCCTGAAACCTTGCCCTCCTCAGACTCCACCACAAAAATCTTTAGGAATTTTCCAACTTGGAGCTGGCAACCTTAACCAGGCCTGGCCCCAATGAGTTCTCCTTTGAAAGGCCCTGCTCTCTTCCCCTGCCTTTTTACTCACAGAAACTGAAGCCTGGAATACTGTGGTTGCCTAGCAACAGCCACTGAGGTAATCCATTGCTTAAAGCTACAAGTGCTCCTTTTATCATTTTCAGATTTTTTAAGGTGCCCAGTGTACTTTTTTTAGATTTCACATTTCTATGCAAACATAGGGCCCTTTTCAAGTTTGTAGAAAGATCTGTCTTGCTTGTTCACAGCTCCAGTCATCACATTTAAGTACCCAAAGATATTCTGACTTTGCTATTAGAATATACTTCCTTTCTAACAGCAGCAAGAATATGTATTGCATTTCATCAGAACTCTCATCCTCTTTGATGGGCAGGTATAAAACCATACGAACGGTAGCATTTTGAGTGAAAATGAGAGAGCAACAGAAATGACTACACAAACTCGAACCAACATGTAGAGAGATGGATTTTATTTACAGAGTATCAGAATACGTTTTGTAATAACACAGGGCCATATGCTTTATTTTCTCTGATCTGCTGTCTTCTGTTTTCTTTTCCTTCTGAAATATTGAATTATTACAGTAATAAAAGAGAGGGAAACTACCACATTTTGAAAGACTAGATTAGAGTCCAGTAGTACCTTAGAAACGGACAAGATTTTGGGGGTAGAAGCTTTCAAGAGTCAAAGCTCCCTTCGTCAGCTTTGACTTTTGGATGTTTATACCCCCCAAAATATGGTTGGCCTCAACAGTGCTAATAGATTCAACGCTAGGTGTTCTGCTGCAGACCAGCACAACTATTCTCTGAAACCACATTATTTTTTGTATTTTTCATATGTGCTTGTGTGTGTGAGAGAGTGTGTGTACACCTGGAAATTATGGCAACCTCTGGTGACTGAGCACCTGGAGAATATTTAGAGATGTGGCTGAGTAAAGCCTGCCCCCACCTCCTGAGTGCTGGTATACCAAGGAGGTCTCCCATCCAAGTATTTGCCGGAGTTGACCCTTCTTAGCTTCCAAGATCTGACAAGATCAGGCTTGCCTGGGCTATCCAGGTCAGGGCACTGAAAGTACATTTTGAAAGAGTCCCCTAATGGCAGAGTAAACAATAAATAATCCTGCATGAGTAGTTGTATATTCAGAATTAACAGTGCAATCCCAAGCAAAGTTTCACCCTTCTAAGCCCATTGACTTCAATGGATTTGAAGAGAGTAGCTCTGTTTAGGATTGCACTGTGAATTACATACCATTCATAAATCGTATTCATTCATAACATCATGGATCACCATCATCACAGTGAAACACTTGGCTGCATGTATTTTCTTTTTGCTTTAAATTGCTATGCTTGAAGAATTATGTGTAGCTCTAAAACTTGCATCCAACCTTTTGAACACTGTTTGATCCAAAGCTATTGTCTTTGATTTGTGTCTTAAAAGTAGCAGACTTTAATGACAATAAGGACACAGCAGTAAACGAAGTTCAGTAATTGTTAATTATTTTATTTAAAATACCATGCTCCCTCTGCCAGGAAAAAAAACATACACAAATATATATTTATTCTTATTTATATTTAAGTAATATGATAGTGATAACCAGGGTGTAAGTAAATGCATACATTTCCATTAACTGAAGAATCCGAAGTAGAGTTAACACCCTTGTAAGTCTATTGAAGTCAATGGGCTTAGAATGGTGTACCTCTCTTTAGGATTACATTGCATCTCTCTGCTACTAGCAAGATGGGAGTCTGAGTCCCACTGGATGTCAAAGAAATTGCAAATCCATGATGAACACAATTACTTTACTTTCGTACCCTGTTTAAAAATCTGATGCCAATGAAAAATTTCCCTTATACCTAACAATTCAGTGACCCAAACAAAGCAAGTTGCCATTTACAGAGAGAGGACCTATAAATTACCGGGACATATTACTCTTCTCCCAAAGACATGTCAAGTGCTTGCCATAAATAATTTTCTTGCAGAGAAAAAGCGGTGTTAAATCAAAACTACAAAGCCCTAAAGAGCATTAGATTTATGGCAATCTAAAAGGAGCTTTGCAGGTTCATTTCAAACATATGCTTCTGGAAATCGATTGGCTAAGCACCCTGATCTCTTCCATTCTGCCTCCACCTCTTCCAGCCCTTTTTCTGAGGTTATTTAAGGAATAAGCAGCAGTGGGGAGATGGTACCGGTCACCGTTTTTATATACATCTGAAAGTCACTTCCAAAAAAGAGGCAGAGGTAATAGTTGAAGACTCCCGCCACAGACATAAGGAAAAGGAACGATATGACGCGTTTTCCAAACATGTAACCAGGCGTGCTGAGAGAAATAAAAGAGCAAAGAAATGCATAAGAATGTATCGATTCACTGGAAGAGTGCTAATCCCCTCTATCTGCCATCAAGGTCAAGTTAAATAGAGCTCAGATGTTCCGATTAATGGGGTCAAATTCTACACTGATGTACATCTCTACGATACAATTAATTTCATGTGAGCAGTGCAGGTGTAAATCAGCACAGGAAATTTGGCGCTCCTTGCAAAATTTATGCATCAGCAATCAAGAACATTCCATTTAAAATATACATATATCTTATCGCAGCTATTAAAAATGATGGGCCTGATTAGATCAGAAGCAAAATCCAACAGGCTTGCAGTTTTAATCTGAGGGGCTAAACAGTAGACACTGACTACCGATCCTCAGCACCAGCTTAAAGGTTTCTCCATCCCAGAGAAGTTAAGACTGTTGAGTTGGGTGAAAGAGGGCCAGTTCACATTTTGCAAAGTTCATGTGGTGAACACATGGAATGTCAGCAGACGCAGTCATGCAGTTCTGCTCTGGGAACTAATTCCCAAGGTGTGTGGGGGCCCAATTCAGACTAAGACCCATCCTGGTAGAACTTGGAGATATGCTGATGTAGTGCTCAACTAGTGCTGTAACGGTGGTGGTGGTGGTGGTGACAGTGTGCCTCTGCTGCAATAGGGGCGAGAAATCGGCAGCACCTGGGAAATGATGGGGGAAGAACAGGGCTTAGTTAGTATCCTAAACCCCTTCAAGCCCTTGTTCCACCTCCAGGAAATATTATGATGGCCAAAAAGCTGGCCAGTGAAAACTCCTCTACAAGCAAATTCGAGTGGGGATTGGGGGGGGGGGGAACCCTGTTTCCCTCTGTCTCTCACCATGCCTACCCTCCTACAGCACAGTTTAAGATACCAATTTAAATTACAGCAAAATTACAGCTTACCTACATACTGTATAAACCCTGGCCTGGACCTGCATGTCTCACTTGATTGGGCAGGCAGTATGGGATACATTTCCCTGGCCTTATTTGTTTATTTGGATATTTATAACCTATTTTTTGCCCCAGTGAGTATCCAAAGTGGCTTGCAAAATAATTCTCTCCTCCATTTTGTCTTCATGACAACCCTGAGAAGAAGAAGAGGCGGAGGAGCAGGAGGAGGAGGAGGAGGAGGAAGAGGAGATTGGATTTATACCCCACCCTTCACTACCCAAGGGAGTCTCAGAGCAGCTTACAAACTCCTTTCCCTTCCCCTCCCCACAACAGACACCCTATGAGGTAGGTGGGGCTGAGAGAGCTCTTGACAGAAACTGCTCTTTTTCAAGAACAGCTCTTATCAGAGCTATGGCTTGCCCAAGGTCATCCAGCCAGGTGCAAGTGGAGGAGTGGGGAATCAAACCCGGTTCTCCCAGATTAGTGTCCGCGCATTTAACCACTACACCAAACTGGCTGGTAGGTTGGGCTGAGTGCATGTGATTGCCCCCAGATCACCCCCAGCAACCTTCCATGGCAGAGCTGGGGGTCTGAACCTGGTTCCCCCAGATCCTAGTCTGATCCTTAACCACTACACCCTGCTGGCTCACACTTTGCACAATTGCTATCTCTGCTGCTGCCACTTTACAAATAGCAACTCTTTACTGGCTCAACAAACCTTCCCTCCTACTAGTTGCTAGTTGTGTCTTCCACACAAGGTAAAGATGCACAGTGCAGACAGGGAGATATGCTGGCAAAACATCACCAGGGACTACAGTCTCATTGCTCTATGGCTACCAGGGGCTCCAACCATTGATACTGCTGGCCCAACACCTCTTTTTCCTTTGGGGCAGGAGCAGATTGGCCATTAAAGACACTGGAGAAAGTCCTGGGGGTATCAATGGTCTGGGAGCTGTCCCCTTGCCAGGGTGACCCCAGCCCCAAGTGTGCGGAAGCCCTCTTCCCGTGCAAGATGGGAGGCAGCTGACACAAGCCATTGGATGGAGCACTGCATGGAGTGGGGAGGAAAGTACATGGCCCGGTCCAGTCCCATGGGGAGTAGGGAAGGAGGGGTATGGCTTGGCCTAGTCCTGCATGGTAAAGGAAACACCTGGCCAAGCCATGCGTGTCACAGGGAAGAAGACACCTGGCCTGGCTGAGGCTCTTGCAGCAAAGGAGATGCTTGCTTGGCCGACCCCTGAGCGATGAAGGAGGCGTTTGGCCCAGCTCAATGCCATGTTGTGTGGGAAAGGAGATACCCACAGGGAAGAAGACACGTGGCTCTGCCAAGCCCTACTTGGCCTGGCTGAACCCTGCACTGCCCAGAAAAGGAGGCACGTGGCATGCCTGAACTACACATAGTGGAGCTGTCCAGCTGAGCTGTGTACGATGTGGGCAGGGGGGGGGGCATGCTCTTTCTGCCTTTCTCTTTCCTTTTTTTTTTGGGGGGGGGGACCCTTTTCCAGAACCATTTTGCCCTCTCAGTCTACCCCTGCCTTAGTCCAAACAGGAACTGCAGATGGAGTTCCAATGCAAATCTGTATGAATGATAGAGAAGCACTGGCCCAATGGGTACGTTGACTCACCTAACAAGTGAACCCCACCATGTTGAAACCCTCAAAGCGGAAAGAGGAAGTGTAGACACTGGGAGAGAACTATGTACACTGTATTTCCCTTGCTTTTCATTGCTACTGCAGAGCATTCATTGATTTCATTTATTGACTTCATTTATACTCCACTTTTTCCTCCAATGGGAACCCGAAGTGGCTTGCAACACTCTTTAAGTAAAATTTTAGTGAATTGTATTTATTGTATTGTATGTTGTTCTGTACTGTTTTAATGTTTTAACTTGGGCATTCGTGCCCCTTGTGAGCCGCCCTGAGCCTTCGGGGAGGGCGGGGTATAAATTTAAAGATAAATATAAATAAATAAATAAATTTAATTCTCCATTTTATCCACAAAACAACCTTGTGAGGTAGGTTAGGCTAAGAGTGTGTTACTGGCCCAAGGTCACCCAGCAAACTTCCATGGCAGAGTGGGGATTCAAACTGGGGTCTCTTAGATCCTAGTTCAGCACACTAACCACTACACCATGCTGGGTTTCATTGCTCACTACAGTCCCTATGTCACCTTTGGCTCTTTGCATGCAGTTCTCCAAAAGCTGTAGATGGCAGGACAGACCCCCCCCCATTCATAGTGCAGTGCCAGCCATCAGCTGAGTTTATAACATGACTAACAGCTGCAGTAACCAGTGTACACCCAACTGCTCCTGCTATATGTATGTAGTGCTCTTGCTCTGTCCTGGTTCCTACAACAATACAAGGTTATCTGACAGTAGCTTGACCACAGTTGCTCCAGTCATGGGCATGCAGTGATGGGACACCCCTGGATTTAATTGTCAGTTAAAGCAGCTTTCTAATGCACAGAATCCTTACTAAAACCAAAGAGCTGGCCAGCTCAGTCATCTGACTTGCTTTCAGAACAGTGTCCCTGATACTGTTCAATCAATGTATAGATTGTTTTCACACCTGGATCTCCATTTGATTGGGGTTTGGTAGACAGCGACTAATTCCCTAGTGCTCACTATTAACTTCATCTGTTTTCAGCACAGGACTCACACTGGGAAGGGGACTAGAGGGCCAAATGCTGTCATCACAGATGTGCTCTAGCAAGAAGGGAGCTGCAGGATCCTTAGATGGCACAATCTGCCTGAACACAGTGGCTTGTGGCAGTATGAGGTCATAGAGACATGCCCATGTGTGTGTTAGTTGGTTGCTTTCATATATGGCTGGATTTGGGGTTTCATGTCCTCCTTTATGATTGGCAGATGTAGGTATTGTTGCTATGGACCCCAGTGTGATTGCTATGCTCATGGCTCTTTGGAACTGGGTCTTTTTGAAGAAAAAAATCTCTTCCATGTTGAGAGAGCATAGAATAATCAATAGTTATATATTACCACAGTAGCACCAGAGATATGTTGTTGTCCAGGGCATAGGATAGTACTGCTTGAATCCTGAGGATGTGTGGCTAAAACATATCTCCAGGGCTCACTGTTAAGAATGTTTACAACCAGTGCAGCCTCTGTAGTGTTCAGTTTTTGAGAATGGGAATCACTGTGGGAAGCAAAGCTGAAAGGCCTAGACCATGGTCCACTGGTGTGTATTAAATGTAAAACGCAGGACCATATACTCAAGATCCGATAACATATGAGGTAGAACTAAGCTGTGCTAAGCAATTCTGCATATACCCTCTTGCTTAAAAAAACACACAAATAAACAAAACAAAACTTTTAGAAATATCACAGAACCAAGATCTGGGGCCAGAAGTATCACATAATCAGAAGAAGGAGGGTTTTTTCATTCTATGGAGGAAAAGCCAATAGAATATTTTCTCATTTTTTCATATCACAAAATTCAAAGGGATTTATCATTGTCTTCATGTATCTCTCTCCAGGCGTTCCTCTGTATGGAGGGGAAACAATACAGCAAAATTGGCCCAATAAACTGAGTGAGAGAATCTAGAACATAACATAATTATGGTAAGGACAAAGAAATGTAAAAACGGGTGGCCACCTGATAACATAAAACGTTATAAGAAGATATAAACTGAGAAGTTACCTCTGTGTCCTTTCTCCCAAATAGCCAACAAAATACTTCTGCCTCACAAACAAGTACATCAACCCAGCGAAGGCAGCAGGAACTAAAGAGAAAGAAAACCAACACCTTTTAGATCTCTAAAATATTTTATCCAGTTTCCAACCTGTTTTAAATAATATGAATCAGAGCCAAAGATCTGAGGGAATGAAGGTTAAGAAAATCCCTTTAATTTTTTGGAATATCAGAAAGCTGGTCAATCTAATTAATTTTGCTGAAGTAAGACACATTCCTGCAATGTTCTTCTGTGTTGATGCGGAGAAGGCATTTGATAGAATTGACTGGTTTTTCTTGGACTCAGCTTTAATGACCTTTGGCCTGGATGACATATTTTGCAGATGGGTGATTGGTGGTAGGTCTTCCACTTTCTTCAGTTTGGGAAGAGGAGTGAGACAGGGTTGCCTGATCTCACCACTGTTGTTTAATATAGCAATTGAAATTTTGGCAATAGCAGTGCTATTAGCAACAAGGAATTAAAGGCATCAGATTCCAAGAAAATACCACAAAATTGTTATTGTAGGCCGACAATATAGTTTTTACTTTACAGGATCCTAAGAATTCAGTGCAGAGTTTAAATCAAATAATAATGCAATTTAGGGCAATCTTTGGGTATATAATTAATAACCCTAAATCAGTGCTGATGGGAGTGGGGCTAACAAAAGTAGATAAGAGTAGGATAACTGAAGCAATTAATTCACCTTGGAAGAGTGAGAAAATGAGATATGAAGGCATTTCAATCTCTAGTAAAGTGGACCATATGATGGAACAAAATTGACATCCAATAATTAAGAAAATGGAAAACGATTTTAAAAACTGGACCAAATATAAATTGTCTTGGCTAGGATGTATTGTTATCATTAAAGTGAAAATCCTACCTAGGTTTTTTATTTGTAATTATGGCACTACCTTTATTAGCTAATCAGGCAATGCTGAAGAAAATCCAGTAAATAATGAATAATTTTATTTGAGAGAACAAAAAAACAAACAACCCCCCCCCCATGTTTTGCAACATACTTGGGAGAACAGTGGTCTTTCTGTACCAAGTGTTGAAAGGCACTATTTGGAATCTAGGCTCTCTGCCTTATTTAACTGGTTTAGATCGAATGAGACACAAAGCATTTGGGGATTAGAGCAATATGGACTTGCTTGCTCAATGGACACTTGGATCTGGAAATATAACAAGCAAAGGGGAAAGCAAGATATTATGTATATCCGTATGGCATCAGTGAAAGCATGGGATCAGTGCAGGAAAATATTAGGACATTAACTTCCCTTACATGCCAATATTCCAACATAGTGAATTTGTAAAAGTCCTTCAAACAGAAGGTTTCAGTGTATGGAAGAGTCTGAAATTGACTAGAATCTCTGATTTTCTTAAGAACCATGCTATTAAATCCTAAGAAGAACTTCAACATGAGGCTGGAGAAATTCCATTACTGTTTTTTCAGTATCTCTAAATAAGAAGTTTCAAACTGATATTTGGTGACCCCTAAACAGATTCAAATGAATTTTAGATCAAAGAGAACTGCACAGATGATTGGTGTCAGTTATTTATGGGATTTTGGCAGATTCAGACATTTAACATACAACTTATAAAAAGGTGGGGAAAAGACTTACAGGAAGTTATCCCTAAGGATCACTGGCAGGAGCTATGTAGGGACATAATTAAAATATAGTTAATACAGGCATAAGCTAAAATGTTATTAAGATGATGTATAGGTGATATCTTACACCTGATAGGATCGCTAAGATATCAGCAGATGTCTAAATTGTGCTGATGATGTAACAAGGAGACCAGGACTTCATATATGGAGGCAGTGGCCATTAGTACAAAAATTTTGGAGCAAAATACTTAAAGAAATCAATAGTATCCTGAATTGTAAATTACCATTTGACCCTAAGGTGCTTCTACTACATATTCTACCAAATAACCTTCATGAAGGGGAGAAATGCTTAGCCAAGAATTTACTAATTGCAGCAAGGCCGCTGCTGGTGTAGTGTGGGAAGCAACTATACCTGCCAAGTCTAGATGATTGGGCATGTAAAGTATGGTATGTAACCTTAATGAACAAAATAACAGTATATAAGAGAAGCTGCAAAGGGAAAATAGGCTCTCAGGAACTGTCAAACAGTGGAGTCCATTTATAAAGTACTGGAATAGACTCAGGCCAAAAGAGCAATTTAAAGATACTGTTCTAAGATACATTTAATTATTTGACTATAGTTGATATAAGGGTCAGTAGGGGTAGATGGATGCTATGAACTCTATGGAATGTGTTAATTGTGTATTATGACTTTTTAAAGCATGCACTGTGTTTAATTTAATCCGTTAATCTGTCCTACTTGTGATCTTCATTTGTAATTAACGTAACTTCATGATTATTGTAATGAAAACTTCTTCTATTAAAAAAATGTAAGAAGAGCCCTGCTGAATCAGACCAGTATCCTGTTTCTAATAGTAAGCAGCTAGCTTCTTCCTAAAAGCTCATAATGCCAACAGCCACACGTCATTTTGTGAATGAAGTATGTGCATTAACAAAGGATTCTTTAAAATCTTCTGAATAATTGAATGTATTTGTATCCAAAACTTTTTAGCTTTAATATATGTCCACCACAAATGATAAAATGTCACTTCTCTCTGATCACATTTCCAAATTGTTTGAAATATTTTTGTATATTTTAGTTAATTTTTCTGGGGCCATATACCATCGGTATATCATTTTATAAAAGTTATAAAAGTATATTAATATTTATAAAAGAATAATAGTAAACAACTGAAACCAGAGGCTTTTTTGTTGGGACTAATGGACAGTCAGTAAAAAAACCCACATGGAACTTTGTTTTTGTATATCACAATGGTGGCAAGATTATTATATGCTCAGAAATGGAAATCTCCAATATTGCCTACAATGGAAGAATGGCTAGTGAAGATGGTGGAACTTACGGAGATGGTTAAGCTTACTTCTCTAATCAGGGAAAAGCTATTATCTACATTTATGGTTAACTGGTACCCCCTTATATACTGAAATGATGACTTAGGGTTCTGAAGATCAAGAGGATAAAAACTAGATAACAGATAAAGGAGAGGTTTTAGTAAGGTAGTTATAGAGAGGGTGATAAGAGTAAATTAAGTTGTACCAGTTGTAGACAAAAATCAAAAGATATTCCCTTACGTTTCTCATATTTCTCATGCTTCTTTTAAATTATATTTTTATGTTTTCTGTTTTTTCTTTTTATGCATGTTGCTTCAAAATTTAATTTAAAAAATTGAAAAAACCCCAAAACATTATGAATGTTTCTACAAAGCTACAATTCCAAGGTTCTTTAGGAAAATCTGTTTAATGGAGGTTAAACATAACACTCTCTGTACAGGGGAAGTACACCGGAGTCACAATTAGAACATAGGAGCACAGAAGGCGAATCGTATGCTGCACATCTATATACTAATAGCCAACTGTCCCCAGTGTGTACAGATACTTATTTCTGCAAATTGGGGGCACATGAAGGCTCAACAGTAATTCCTGCACACTTGAGGCATTACTTAGGTGTGCAGAAAAATCTAACATGTTTTTTAAAATATACGGAGATACTTGAATGAAAACCCCCCTGAAACTGTGTTCTCGCGCAGGTGTGGAAAATGGACTTGCCATTTGGAAATGTGGCAGAGCTTGCTACTAGCAGCTGCGAGGGAGCTGGGGGAGCCTTGGCGGGTGGGCAGCTGGGATCCAAGCAGGGCTTGCTGCTGTTCCGGGGGGGGTGGGGGGGGGGGGAGAAGCCAAGGCGGGCAGGTGGCTGGGAGCCACACAGGGCTCGCTGCAGTTGCTGCTGGCTGAGGGGAGGGAAGAAGCCTGGGTGGGGGGGAAGCGTGGGCGGCGGGGCGGCTGGTACCTGGGCATGGCTTGCCACTATTGCTGCTGGACTCACCTGCAGCCACCTCCTCCTTTTCACTGAGGACCCCCTCCTGCTTTGCAGGCCATGGGGCATACACAAGTATCGCGGGTCCTGCTTCTTGTTTTACCTAATTTCATTTTTAAATGTCTCTGGCATATTTCCTTCTTGTAATGGTCAGTTCCAGGTATACAGGTCTATATTTAATCATAGCTGAAGTCCCAAGTCACACATGCAGTTAGTGATGGTTGCTGTGTGGGGGTTACCCCAACTAGCAACCAGCTCCCCATGCAGCTAAGCAGTTTTTATTATGCAACCGCAAACCTTTCCAGATACTAAAACAAAAGCAAAGGCATACAGACATGTCTTTAAAAAGGCACAGTCTTTTAGCAGAAATCTATGTACACAGAACATGGATCCCTAAGAACAAATTCAAGATAACAGTGTGATGCACAGTTAAAAAATCTTTTTCTTGGTGTGCTGAAAACCAAACAGCAGCATCATGTTGGTGCCAGCAATATGGTGATGTCACTTCTGGCATGACCCATAAATGATGTCACCACATAGGCATGACACTCTAGTATGCAACCAAAACTTTATGGTTTTACCATAGAGATTTTGAGAGAATGCTAGAGTGTCATCTGGCATGATGATGTCACTTCTAGGTCATGCTGAAAGTGATGTTATGGCAACAGCATGATACAATCTCCCCCTCCCTGCATTTTCCCAACCATTCCCCCACACACACTACCCAGCTCCCTGGCAGGAGGTAATGCAGGGGGTGGGTGGGAAATCTCCTGCCTCCCTACTGGGGAGTGTAAAGTTTGGGGAGGAAAGTCAGTGAAGATATAATGGCACTTTAGGAAACCCAGTTCACAAGACATTTGTTCTCATAAATAAAGGTAAAGGTCCCCTTGCTCGAAAGCCAGTCGAGTCTGACTCTAGGGTTGCGATGCTCATCTCTGTTTCAAAGCCGAAGAGCCAGCGCTGTCCAAAGACGTTTCCGTGGTCTTGTGGCCGGCATGACTAAACATCAAGGCGCACGGAACGCTGTTACCTTCCCACCGAAGTGGTACCTATTTATCTACTTGCAATTCCTTGCTTTCGAACTGCTAGGTTGGCAGGAGCTGGAACTAGAGACAGGAGCTCACTCCGTCATGCGGCAACTCGGGTCTCGAACTGCTGAACTACTGACCTTCCACAGCCTGCAGTTCAGCGTCTTAACCACTTGAGCCACCGCAGCTCCTTTTGTTCTCATACTCCTCTTCAAAACAGGCTTTTGTGGGAGACCAAACATTTATGAACTCCAGCATTTAGTGTCCATGACCTAGGTTTTTCTGTAAAGTTTATATTGGCCAACTTGTGGCTACAATTGCATTTTATCTTCAGGGAAAAATCACCACAAGCCATGTCTGGAAAATACATGGGAGGACAGTGAGGATGGGCTTCCAGTGATGTCATCAGCATTCCATGGTAAAACTGAATGAATCAATCATGGCAATTCCATGCTAGTCAGTGGGAGAAGCACTCTTACTTCCGAGTGAACATGTTTAAGAATGGACTGGGATAGGAAAAGGGAAGAATCCTTGAAGGAATACTGTTCCGTTAACTATATTTGGGCATTATAGAGGTAAAAGGGGGGGGGGAGCAAATTGTTGGAAGAGACAATGCCTGGTGTACAAAGAAGAAGAGAAGAAGACCTGTCAGGGAGCATCAATTTAATTGCTCTGCCAACAGAAATATACTGGATTTTAGTCTCACTCAAACCCCACCTTGGCCAAGTTTCCAAAAGAGACCTATTTCACACATTACCATGAAGAAGAGATACTGTTGCCCATCCAAAGGAGCAGAATGGATGAGTAAATCTCAACAGACAGATTTTATTTAGAAAACTATTCCACTGTGAAACTTCTGATCAGGACTTTCATTATAATCCAGTGTGAGTTGCCAGTTTTTCCTAGGCAGTGCAACTGTCTGACAAGCAGAAATTCAGGGGGTAAAGCCCTTCCCCGTATGTAGATTCACTGAAGGGAAAGACTTCACCTGTTGAATTTGTGTGTATGAAACAGCTAAAAGGAACACTGGCAATCCAAAATTTGTTTCACTCTGTAACGGAAACCACTCATGCTCGTGCTGCATCTCTTTTCATTTCCTGCACTTTTGAAGAGAACCCTGCTCAGTCCCATCGCTCAGAATCAAAGCAGGCATCTTTCAAAAGGAACACGCAGTCTTGCTGTTTGCCCCGAATATCAGAAAGGTAACACAAGGGCCAGGGAGAGCAAGCTGAATACATTACCTTGGCTACAAAGCAAACCAGCACACCAAAGCACCGCAAGAAAGGTAGGGTAGGCGTCTCTGCAGTTTTGGCTAGGAAAGGAAAAGATTCTCTGATAAAGGGACACCATCATAATGAGAATTTTAAAATAATATATCATTATCATTCAAACATAACTTTTAACAACTTGAATATGTAAGAGCAGGAGTTTAGTGCAGAATCAGAATCCCATTGCAACTATTAAAGGCAGTTGTTTGGATCCTTTAGTTGTGCAAGCAAGATGGCAGATCTTTGCTGCCATCCTCCCCCCCCCCCCAAAAAGGGGTGACCTGTGAATCCAAAAAAACAAATCCTGGCCAGGGGGGGGGGGGACAGAGGCAAAATCCATCCAATATTGTATCTTCTGTTTGATGCAGTGTTTAGAGTGTGTGCTGGGTTAGGATCTGGGATACCCAGGTTCGAATTCCCCACTCTATCATGGAAGCTTGCTGGGTAACCTTGAGCCAGTCACTCCCTCTTAGCCTAACCTACCTCACGGGGTTCTTTTGAGGATCAAATGGAGAAGAGGACCCTGATTTCAACTGCTTTGGGTCCCCACTGGAGAGAAAGGCAGGGTATAAATGAAGTAAATAATAAGTGGGGGGAGGGTGAGTGAAACTGCCCCTCTCCCCTTGCACCAATACAGCATCTTCCATCAGCACAAGCAGAGCTGTGCCAGCAGAATGGAGGCACTAGATATATCCTATTTATAATTTCTAGATTTAAATATTAATTGCCCAAGATGATTTGAACTAAGGCTCCCCAAGACCTCTGTTATGTGCCAAAACATAGCCCTTGAACATGGGATCAAGAAAGGGACAAATGAAGGCTGTCCTCCTATTAAATCTTACAGAGCAATCCTAGGCATGTTCACCCAAGGGCCTTTCTGAAGTTTTTGTCGTTGTTGTTGTTGTTGTTGGGTTTGGCCCCACGCCCTGATTTCCACATGCATTTTTCTGCCTTTAGCGTTTGCTTCTTATTTTTAATCCCCCCCCCCCAGTTTTTCCCCCATTCTTGTGAGACCCTGATCTTTTTCTAGAAGCCAGTTTGGAGTTGGATTTTTTCCTCGAGCGTCATGTTTCTTTTGGTTTTCATTGTCTCGCCCACTCCCACCCACCTCCAGTCCACTTTGACAATGATTGGACTGTTGTCATCATCTGATCACTCCCTCTCCTCCCCCTACCTGAAGATGAGTAGTTTAATTTTTTATTTTTTAAAAAATCCACTACAATACTGATATATTGATATAGTATTGTAATGGTAGTTTAAGCAGGTTATCTGAATTCCAAGCTTTTATTTTTTTAAAAAGTAAGTCTCTAGCCTCTTCCCTTGGTAGAGATAGAAGGAATAAAGGACGCTGGCCCATATGATATATTAGCTAAGGTCATCATGTCTGAGACTTTGCAGGGCTTTTTTTTCTGGGGGAACGTGCTGGAACAGAGTTCCAGAGCCTCTTTGACAAAATTATTTTAAAAATGCTTAAAAGTTCATGAGTTTTCAATATACAGATTGAAAACTTCATTTCCCTCTTGAGCGTTCCCGCACCTCTTTTTCTTTTTTTTAAAGCCCTGCTGTACAGTACACCCTTCCCTCATCACCAGGTCAACCCCAGTAGCTTGTTCACTCATGGTGCAAAAGATTAAATTTCTGCGATGGGAACAGTGGCAATTCAAGTTATCTTATTTCCTGAAGTGGTAGCAAGCAACCCACGCACTACTGGGTTTTTTGAACTCCCACAAGATTACTTCCTCTCATGGGAGTTTGGCCACCATTTTGGTAGTCCTAGCAACAGATAAACAGAAATAGTGACCAAATTCTCACATGAAGGAGGAACCTCATGATAGTTAAGAGAACTGGCACCTGCAATTTGCCATGCTGCTTTTAAAGGGAACCAGGGTTAGTCTGGGAAGCAAAAATAGCCTTGGGTCAGTCATGAGTGGGAAGGTGGAGTGGTGTCTATTTGTTTTAATAGCATTTATATCCCACCTTTCTCCAGAACAGAATGAAAGGGAGTGTACACTACCCAGGTCTCTTACCCAAGCACTGTTCAGAGTTAAACCCAGACCTATGTAGATTTGCAAGATACCTTTATCGTTTGCCTTCCAACTATACCCTGGCTGGCTGGCTTGAAGCATCTCTTTAGCAAAGGCAATTTTTATGTATGGACCAAATGCACTCCTACTGGATGTACTCTTCTTTACACACTCACTTGGCAATGGAGACGCGTTCAAAGGCAGACGGCCCAGCTCGCTGAAAACTTTTCCCCGTGTGGTTCTTGCTTTCATGTTCTACCTTGCTTGCAAAAAAGGCTGTCAGATTTAAAAAACAAACAAACATGGTTTATACCAACAGGAAAAGTAAGACACTCAGAAGGAGTACAATAATTGGACAAATTCAGCTTTCAGTGGAATGTATCTCTTTTATTGGGGCACTACAGTACTTGTATAGTACTGATATTTATCTATGGCAGGAGTAATGGGGCTGCAAAGCTTCTTTTCTTTGGTTTATGAATCCAGTTTCAATTTATCAGTCCTGTTAATGACTTTGTTAAACAGATTAAGGCAACAGCATGACTCCCTATTGTGCATTCATTGCCGCTGTGAATAAAGAAGCATTTGCAGAAGCAACGGAGCGAGCGTCCACATGGGGGGAGGAATTTTCTGTGCTTTCCTCGGTATCCCGTCATGCTCACCATTATGACCCTTTGCTCTCGACAAGGGTGTCTTTCACGTTGTCTTAAAAATCCACTTGTGTTACCCCATGTTAGCATGTTTTTTCCTTGTGTTCAGACAACTTCGTAAACATCTCACTGCTGTCTCATACCTTCCCCATTTACCCCCATTCCTAATAAAACTGGTTTCTCCTGCACTCCCCCCCCTCCGCCCCAAAAAGTGAAATGTATTTGCAACAAAGCCTCTGCTTGTAATCTGAACTTAAGTTTTCACATTGGTGACTTCTGGCACCACCCACCCACCCAGAAAGGGGTTGGTGGATTTGGGTGGGTTTTTTTAAAAAAATTGCACCCCAGTGGAGAAACCTTTCAGTGGAAGAAGAAGAAGAGACTGAATTTATACCCCGCCCTTCACTACCCAAAGGTGTCTCAAATCGACTTAAAAACTCCTTCCCCTCCCCACAACAGACACCCTGTGAGGTAGGTGGGGCTGAGAGAACTCTTGACAGAAACTGCTCTTTTTTAAGGACAGCTGTTATCAGAACTATGGGTTGCCAAGGTCATCCAGCCAGGTGCAAGTGGAGGAGTGGGGAATCAAACCCGGTTCTCCCAGATTAGAGTCCATGCACTTAACTACTAACCAAACTGGCTCTGCATTGAAAGGTGCCTGCATTGAAACAAGCAATTATTCACATTAGGGGCACCTTCCTCTGTATACATGCGTGCACGTCTGGTGGTCTCCTCTCTCTGCCTCATTTTCTCTTCCTCTGCAGCCTGAGAAAGCCAGGATCATGTCCTCCTTTTGCTTTATACACTCATGTAAGACCCATCAGACTGTCTCTTGATCCTTCGCACCTTTCTCCTCAGTGGGGAAAACCTTCTTTTTGCTACGCTCTTTTAATGTTTTCAGTTTTAAAATGGCATGGGCCAAGTGACCGAGCAAATAAATGATCTTTTCTGCTTCAGTTGCTGTTTGAGAGCCTCCCATGATTGCCACAAGAGTAAATGTACTAAAGCCAATGGGGCTATTCTCGTGTATATCTGCACGTAAGGCCTTTGCACACACACACCCGTATTCCAAGGAAGAGAGGCAGAGTGAATGAGGCTGCTGAAATGCTCAAACACTTCAGTGCCTTTGCAAAAAAAACCCCCCAAAATGCGACCCTCCCCCCCCAAAAAGCCAGAACAGAGGGGGACACATGAGGGGAAGTCTGAACTTTCCCACCAATAGCGCAATCATCAGAAGCGGCACAACACACGTGAAAACTCTAAAGATGGCTGCAGTCTAAAAACTCCCAAGCTTTTTGCCAGTTAAAAAAAAAAAACCAAGTAGTTGCTATGTTGCCATTGTGTTATAGTGTTTAACCTAACTACTACTGCTCCCCCCCCCCTGAGTGGAGCAGTTCATATCCTGAGCAGAATATAACTGTCATAATCATAAAATGGGCAATGGGCAGTGAAAGACCCTGCGCTGGCTCCAGATTGCTGCTGACTAGGGCTTCCTGTGTTAATGAGCAGCCGCTCACGTGCACAGCTTAGAGGGAACACTGCCTGGGATACTCCCTGGACCAGGTTTTGGCACTTGACTGCGACCCCCTCAAAGGAGTCTCAGAACGGCTTACAAACTCCTTTCCCTTCCCCTCCCCACAACAGACACCCTGTGAGGTAGGTGGGGCTGAGAGAACTCTAACAGAAACTGCTCTTTTTCAGGAACAGCTCTTATCAGAACTACAGCTTGCCCAAGGTCATCCAGCCAGGTGCAAGTGGAGGAGTGGGGGGAATCAAACCCGGTTCTCCTAGATTAGAGTCCGCGCACTTAACCACTACACCAAACTGTATCTCGTGACTAACTACATGCATATATGCACAGTGCATATAAATTTTGACATATAAAGCCAAAATTTCTGTTAAAAAAAAAGAGAAGTAGCTTTAAAGTGGAGTTTTGGAGGGGGAAAAGGGAAGAGAGTAGGTGCATCACAACCATTTCCTCGCTTGCCAGTTCTCCCTTAATTTTTTTTCTCTCTCTGCAGGTTTTTCTACACATGTGCTTGGTCAAAAAGTACAGAAATATGCAGTTTAAAGTGTGTGTGTGTGGGGGGGGGAAGGTGCATAAAGTGGTAACTGGAGTAGAGAAATGGCAGCGATAGTGATGAAATTACTAACCACTCCTTTCCCATTCAAAATCTCTCCCCCACCCCCACCGCAAGAATCTGCTGTTCTTAAAATGGGTATTGGGGTTCTATTATAGCTACACAACACAGTCGAGGTTAATCCCCCCCAAAGCAATGGGGTTGGCAACTCTGGATTGACAAATGCCTGGAGATTTGGGGATAGAGTCCAGGGAGGTCCCTGTCCTCCCCAGGCTCCACCTCCAAATCTCCAGGAGTTTCCCAACTTGGAGCTGGCAACCCTACCCCCCACCCTCTGGTGGCCAGCGGGGGACCTGGCATCCCTATCAGACAGCTGTATGCAAGGATCTATGGTCTGGACTAAGGGGATATTACAGTTTTTAAAAGCTCATTGTTTCCTGAACGGTGTGGTTCTCTCTCTGTCTCTGTTTTACCTCCCCCCTTGTGTGGCTCAGCACACTGCTTGATAATCTAGGAATCTGCAGCTAGATCAGCTCTGACATATTCAACCATTTTTGCTTCTCTGAGTGGAGGAGCAAACAGTTCCTTCGCAGCCAGTAGCTAGCTGTAGGCAAGCGTCTCCCACTCTAGTTCTCAGTAACCACATTCAACTGAACTCCATGCATCCAGACTACGGGGCATAACGATGACTAGAAAATTCAAACTCATACAACCCACAAAGGGGGAAAGGATTCTGAGAGAAACTCTGACACAAGATTGCTGCAACTTCACACATACACACAACAAGCATGAAAACAAGGCCGATTTGGTAGCCCTCTAGTCAACACACAAGTTTGTTCCTCACCCTACTCCCAAATATACCATTTTCTCTTACCGTTTTGGATGACACTTAAGAGAGTGACAATGACCAGAAGGACAAAGCACCCCACCACTTCTTGGTCCATGTTGGCAGCAGGCTGGATAGGATGTTCTCTGCTCAGCTTCTTTTAGCTGCTCAGCGAGACAAACCACAGAAAGAGGAAGTGATCTTCTTCCTTATCTTGCACCACTGAACATTCCTGACACCTTCACTGCTAGGCTACATGAGAGCAATGCTATATTCTGACGTGCTTTCAGTCAGTTGAACGGATCGGCTGCACATACCTGTCATTTGGGGAGAGGCTGTGTTCATATCTGTCTTAAGTGTATTCATTGCTTAGAAGGACAGACGCATACATTCAGAGCTTGAGTTGGTGGAGGAAAGCACTGTCAAGTCACAGCCCACTTATGGCAACCCCGTGGGGCTTTCAAGGCAAGAGATGTTCAGAGGTGGTTTGCCATTGCCTGCCTCTGCATCACAACCCTGGACTTCCTTCGTGGTCTCCCTTCCAAATACTAAGTAGGGCTTGACCCTCTTTAGCTTCTGAGATTTGATGAAAGTGGGCTAGCCTGGGCCATCCAGGTGAGGGCTGGGCAAGGGTTAGGGGCCGGCAATCCAGGTGACTGCTTGGAATGTCAGGCTTGGGAGGCACTGGGTTTTTGGGTACCTGCCAAGGGCTGTCTATACACTCATCACATGAACACAGGAAGTTGCCTTATACTCAGGGGTCATTTCTTGCAGGAGCGCACAGGAGTGGAGCTCCGGCAGTAAAGAGCCCAGGGGGCGGGCACATGCAACAAGCCCCACCCCCTGCTCCCAGCAGCCCTCAGTCAGAGCAAGAAGCAGCCAGGTAAGTTGCAGAGCTCCCCCTGGCCCCCCAGTCCAAAACAGTCCAGTGGCACCTTTAAGAACAAGTTTTATTCAGGTACAAGCTCTCCCTCCTCTGTGGGGACAGATCTGCACATCCATCCCACCCCCAAAAGCTAGCAATCCAAAACAGTCCAGTGGACCCTAAGTGATGGGTGTCAGGGGGTGTGGCATATGCAAATAAGTCATGCTAATGAGCACCTCTTTTTCTACGAAATGACCCCTGCTATACTGTATCAGACCCTTGGTCCATCAAGACAGATTCAGGTGGGTAGCCATGTTGGTCTGAAGCAACAGAACAAAGTTTGAGTCCAGTGGCACCTTTAAGACCAACAAAGTTTTATTCTGGGTATAAGCTTTTGTGTGCACGCACACTTCTTCAGGCATCTAAAGACGTGTGCATGCACAAGAATAAAACTTTGTTGGTCTTAAAGGTGCCACTGGACTCAAATTTTATTTTCGGTCCATCAAGGTCAGTAGTGTCTAATCAGACCGTCAGTGGCTTTCCAGGGTCTCAGGCAGAGAGGTCTTTCACATGACCCACTGCCAGATGTTTTAACTGGAAATGTTGGTGACTGAACCTGGGACCTTCTGCATGCCACGCAGATGCTCTGCCATGGAGCCATGGTCCTTCAGCTGAAACAAATCATACGAATACCTGACAACACTGACCTGCCAGTGGCCAGTGTTATGTCAATGCTCTTAAAAAAAACAACAACAACCAGGAAAATGTACTTCTTTTTCCATACATCAGAGTGCACTCACAAGTGACTGTGATATCACTTGTACCATAAAAATATTCAGACATGATGAGTTTATTAAGCATTAAACCCACTCTAAAAGAACATTCATTTGTCATCTAGTTTTCTTTTTATTTCACACGGTAAACCATGCCTGCAGATTGTGGACCAAAACTGTGAAATGGGTTATACACATGACATTTTTAAAAAGGTGTTCAAAAGTTGAAACTATTGGAAGGGGAAGGACTTGCCTGGGGCACCGCTGGATCTTGGGCTGGTCCTGTGTACATGCAGCTGGGATGAATCTGAATTAGTGTTACAGAGTGCTCAGGGGTCAAATCTGTAGGAGTCACCTTGTGTCCTCAGAACAAGATGCTGCAGGAACTGATGGGAAAATAAAATGACAGAAAAACCAAATGACAGACAGTTCGGTAGTTTAGGGTACTTAAACCCTGTCTTGAGTGACTAAAGTGTTTGCAGTTTTCGGTTGGTAAATGTGGCTACCATCTCCGCATATCAGATGAAAGAAGTGAGTTGTACTCTGTGCATACTGTCGAGGGTCCTTGCCCAAGCCAAAATTACTCAGTTCGTAGCACCACATGCCTGTGACTAGTAAGCACAGGGAGCTTGCAGGTTCTACCAGGATATCACTTACCATCTGCAGATCTTTCTTTAGCTATAGATAGCTGATTATTGTGCTGTCATTCCAGTAATTCACAATGTGGGGAGGGGCTGTGGGTCAGTGGCTGAGCATCTGCTTTGCATGCAGGAAGTCACAATGTGAATCCCTGACATCTCCAGTTGAAAGAACTGAGTAGTAGGTGATGTGAAAGACCTCTCCCTGAAACCCTGGAGAGCCACTGCCAGTCTGAGTAGGCAATACTGACCTTGATGGACCAATGGTCTGATTCAGTATATGGCAGCTTCATGTGTTGAACTGTTCCCCCTCACCCCATGGACAGGACAATAGCATTACAAGTGACTGCTAATGTACAACAATATTCACCATCCAATGGTGTGTGGATCCAGTTCTGGCACTGGAAACAAAACACAACCAGGGGATTGTTAGCTTCCTAAAGGCCCAAATTTCATCCCAGGACTTTCGAAGGCTTCTGCGACCAGCCTGGGAGTTCTGCAAATGAATGCCCAAGCAAGTTTTTTGTTGGTTTCATTTAAAACGCAGATGTGCAGGGACCAATTTTGCCTTGTGATTGTGCTGCAGGTGGAGAAAGAATTTAAGCTCCCACTCAGTCATTTCCTCAACCTGAAATATGGTTCCATGGAAATGCTATTTGTTACCTTGGGATAAATATTCAGTTCCCTATGTCTGATGAAGGGAGCTTTGAGTCTTGAAAGCTTATTACCTCCCACCCACCCCAATCCTGCTCATTTCTAAGGTGCTACTGGACTCAAATCTAGGTCCCCATACATCCAGGGGTCATTTGGGGGGGGGGACGCGGGGGGACACCATCCTCCCCCCCCCGGGTGAGGTGCGGGAGGGCGGGGCCTGGAGCTCCCTGCTGGTGCCCGCTGGAGGTCGCCGCTGGCTGTGGGGAGGACACACTTCCGGTGATGTCAGGGTGTGTGCCATATGCTAATGAGTTATGCTAATGAGTCCCCCTAGCTCTTTTTCTACGAAATGACCCCTGCATACATCTACTGATCCAGGCCTTCCCCCAGTGGGTATCCCTTAGCAGAACAGCTTGCTGTTTCTTGCGGGGTTCAGCTTTTCAACAAACGATGCCAAGAGCACTCCTAACTGCACAACACTGACTGCGAATTTCACCTGGAACACTGTACTTATTTTTAACAAGCCAGGAGTTCTGCTCAAGCCTTCCTGTGACACATACTGTATTTATGCAAAAGGAAGGTGACCCTGAATGTAAGATTACCCCCAAACAAATCATACAGAAAAATTACTAGACATAATTGTAACTTGTATGTGAATGTGAGATCCCCTATTCTTTTTTGAATGACATATTTTAGATCAGATCATTTTAAGAGCATATGAACATTTCTCTGAGAAGGCCAGAGATCTGGGGTTAATAAGGTTGCCAACCTCCAGGTGCTGGTTGGAGATCTCCTGCTATTACCAGTTTGGTGTAGTGGTTAAGTCTGCAGACTCTAATCTGGGAGAACCGGGTTTGATTCCCCACTCCTCCACTTGCACCTGGCTGGATGACCTTGAGTAACTATGAAATACGACCAGTGAGTTTGTTAAATGGATTAATCTTGTATTTCGACGCTATTCACTTTGACAAAGTTGTACACGAAATGAGATGATATGCATGATCCGTTGGTGTTGATGGCGTTTGAATTGCATCCAGTAAACTGAATATTGGAAAAAGAAATTTCTAGTCTTTGAAGACTTTTGTGGCATAACATATCACAGTTGTTGGTTTCCTTTTCCACTTCCTTCCCGTGATCTCTCTGGTTTGTACTACCTGGAGGTTGGCAACCCTACCTGTGAAGGGAGGGGAACAATTAAAAATTGCGAGTAGGAATATTTGCAGGGGATAGTTGGAAGTCAGGAGAAGAGCTAAGCCCCTTCTTCCACCCCAATTCTCCTTGGCGAGGGCCCCCTCACTTGTATTTTCCTTACATGGAAACTACGGGGTTTGGTATGCTGTGTCTTCCTCATGCTGTGTCACTGGCCCCGCAGATAAAACCGGATTCCAGTGCATTGAAAGTAGAGTTGCCAACTCCGGGTTCAGGAATACCTGGAGATTTGAGGGGAAAGCCTGAGAGAATGGGGTTTAGGGAGAGGATGGATCTCGGTAGAGTATGATTCCATACAGTCTACCAAAGCAGCCATTTTCTCCAGGAGAAGTGGAATAAAAGATTTAAATGAATAAATAAGCAATTGATGTAGTCTGGAGGTCAGTTGTAATCCCAGGAGATCTCCAGCCCCCACCTGTACAAGATTCTAAGTGATGCTTTCACATGTGAAAATGATGTCAATTCACCACTGCTGAAGGCATTTAACAATAATCACTCTCAATAATCAGAGAACTGCAGAAGAGAAATTAGATTCCATTATTCTGAGGAGATTCCAGGTTACAAAGAAAGAACCCCAAGTATGAGTAATCTCAGACCAGTGATGAAGTAACCTGCAGATTGCCTAAAAAGAAGCTAATGAAATGAAGTCCCCTGCCAAAGTACGTGTTGTGGTGACTGCCATACCCCGAAATACCAGTCATGTTTCTTAGGAGAAAAACCCAAAGTTGCAACAGTTTTATCTTGCAATTTATCAGAGACCAAGAGATTAGGTTAGACATTCACGAATAAACCACAGAGGAACTACGGTCACATTCAGCATGCTATATTTGTGTTACACTTGGTCGCTGCAAAAGGGAAATTACAATGCAATCCCAAGCAGAGTTACATTCGTCTAAGCCTATTGGCTTTGATGGATTTAGAAGGCGGCAGCTGTGTTAAGCATTGCACAGCCAGTCACTTCCAGATCCATACACATAAGAGCCAACTAACATACGAAGCAATACCATACTGATCTCAGCTGCAGACGTG